TATTATATTCATTTGATTTGTGAAAATTTCGGTCAATTTTGTTTCGGAAGTGTTTAGTATTTTTTGTTGAAAAACTTGTATTATTTAGTGGTAAGCCTTCAGGTTCTGCAACACATTTGGCATTCATCTCTCGCTCTTTATTCCGGTTTATTCTTTTGATGACTTCATTCGCTTCTTCACAATAAAGCGATACATATTTCAGACCCGAAAAACTCGATTCACAGCTATTTCTTGTGATTTGTAATACATTTTCAGAAGAATTTCTCACTCTATTGTATAAAAGAAGCCATTCTTGGATAACATGTCCGGTTTGACAGTGGATTAGCACTATATTAAAGGCAGACAATTGCAAATATCCATAAGCGCCCAAAAGCCCACTTCGATGGGAGGCCTCGTCATCAATAATAGACGCATAGAAGTGACGCTTAAACGCTACAAATCATATCATTTTTATTTTAATTATTTAAATTAGTATTTTTGACATTTGCTTTAAATATTTTTTTTTTCAATAACTGAATGGTTTTATAAATATAACTATTAAATGCATTTATAAGGATTTAAAATTATTTTGATGAATGGGTTTATTATGTAATATAATACCAAAATGAACACAATTTACTATAAAAAACTTAGATAATTATATACATTAGGGCTAAACTAAATATAAATTAATGTTTTGGTAAAAATATTTTGAAGTTTTATTCAATTTGAACACTTAATTCCTGACAATAATTTCAAATTTGAATATTAACATTGAAAAGCAAAATAAAATCTAGTAATGAATGGATATGTTATATAATTAAGACTTATGATTACGTATATACAACTACTTTAACATAATTTGATTGATTGAAACATTCATTAAACATATGCATTGAATTAATATAATTTAAAAAACTACAAAAATGCTTACAATTGTCGATTTGCATCAAAGGATTGGGAATCCAAAGGGCGTATCGAAACCATTGAATCCATACCTGACTCTCGGTCTCTGAATTGTCGGCCAAATGAATGACCGGTTCGTTGTTGTGACAGATTGTGAACGAATAGAGTTGACTCCGAGATCTGTTTCAACAATAATTGTATAAATGGTATATAAAATGATAGTTTCATGTCTTTCCTGCTCCGATAAATAGCGGTATTTTGTGGCTTAAAATTTTTGCGGAGAATAACTGTTTTCGACTTTTGGTTCCGATATAACAATACATCGACAGAAACCGTGTCTTCAGGAGTGGACTCAGCTATGGATTCAAAACAGATCCATCTTTTGCTCCATAGTTTGTATTGTCCGACAAATGACCCAAAATTGAGGCAAACTTTGACATTAAGATAACCTGACTTTGATTTCTCGATGCTTTCATTCATTTTTAAACACATTTAAAGTAATAATTGAAATTCCGATCAATTAAATAAAAAACAAAATATGTCTCAAAACTTCGTTATGAAAATCTATTTATGAGTATTTCATGTGATTACTGTATTATTGATCAGATTATACCTCTGATTTGACATTAATTTTATTTATAAACAATTCAATTGTTTTAAGAGATCATTCACTCGCTCTGTGTTTTGGTAATCAATAATACTTTTACTCAATTAATACAAAAACAAAACAATTTAACTGTAATTATCTTTAATGCCAATAACTTATGAAAATGTTTATTATTTTTAACGATTGTTTCATTTAATGGCAATTTTTAATAATTTTAATCAAAAGTCGATAAGTTTTGTACAGTTATTGTCACTAACTTATTGTTAAACAGTTCGTAAACTATGTGTTAAAGTAAATGTATAGACAATTGAGTGGTTGTAATGTAAGTCAATATACAATCAATTAAATGCGTTCAGTATTTGTAATTAAATTGATGTTTTATTTATTAATATGACTATAATTAAACACGTTGCTACTTTTATAACTTTATATTTGTTAAATCATATTATTTTGATTTAAAACAAACATTTCTAATAACTTTGGAAACTATTAATAAGTTTCAATAAAGGTTTTAATGAAGTAAATTATATAAAATAATTTGAATACATTTCACAAAATTTTTCTATTATTTTTAATCAACAAACATTTACTTATAGATAATTGTTTTGTTTGACTCATTGTGATAATTATCTTGTAATAAAATTTATTTAATTTGATTAATCGGTTCCCAACACAGGGGAGTTCTTTAGTGGAGGTTTTGTTAACATTATTAGTTTACGAAACATTTAAAATTTATTAAATCTGTTTTCTATTTGGGGGTATTTTCTTGCTTACCAAGAGGTTCGGCAGTATTTAATATTTTATGTAAAATCATAAACAATAAAATCAATCAAAAATAATGAATAAATTTTTAAGAATTTATTGATAATGTATTTTATGCGCCAAATATTAAAAGTGTGTGACTTTTCTTGTATTATATTATCCTAAATACTGACCCAAACGTCGTCCCAAACCTAACGCCAGTCAGGAATTTGTATGTAGACTGACATCAGATAAGAGATGAACGTTTAGTTATGATAAATGAGACAGAATTGGAAAAACAAAATCATTATAATCTATATATTCGTCAACAATCAGTCATTAAAGTGCTAAAGAGTGAGCGATCCGTTTTTGAACCAATTATATGATATCTGTGCCGAATAGGCGAACGCAACGGCACCCAAAAATCCCAACAACTTTTGTCGCAAAAATATTAAAACAATTTGTCAATAATATGGTCAAGAAATCACTTTGATTTTTGTAATAACTACTCACTCCCGCTATAATGTACGCCACTTTAGGTCCGGCGCCGTCACAACTGACAAACACAATAAGGATTGAGGCTATTGTCCAAAGAACGACAGCAATCGACTCATTCACTAATAGCTTTTCATATGAAATGAATTTATAAATTAGACAAAAATATCTCATTAAATAAAATTCAAAATGTAGTCATACTGTGAGCGGAAGGTTTATATATTTGGCCACTTGTTCTTGAAATCGGGTGCAAAACAATATGAGAACAACAATTGAAAAGACTAAAGACGCCGACGCTATGAACACAAAAAAGCTGACACTTCTGTACCATTGACACCGAGGGATCTCCACTAATATCAGACTTAACAATGCGATTGCCTTTAAATTATCAACAAATTTCATTTAGGTTCACATTTAATATAATTTGGGTTGAGTTTAAATGAATGAATTCTTACAAATTGTGAGATTCTGGCCAAACCATACTTAGTTGTGGCGAATTCTGTGTCAAAAAATGGACCCTCTGTTTGATAAGTTCCCGTCTCTGCCATCGTTTTTACGTATTAATTGCTTTCTTCAAATAAAACAGATATTTAAATATTTAAAAATAAAATTCATTGTCAAAATAAATACATTTATTAATATAATTGATTACTGAAATGAATGATAATTAAATATTTTATATATTTTGCAATTAAAAAGTCTAAATTTAGCCCAAATGACTAGTATTTGAAATCTAAACAATCATTGACTGCAAAACTATAAAATGTTTTGCCATTTTAAAGATTTCCTTAATTGGAAATGAAAACGAGAATTCATATAATGTATGTAATGTATTGGTTATGCAAACAAATGTGAAATATAACACAAAAAACTATGAATTGCAAACTCATGGGTTATATTCATACGAGTGATAATATTATTATAATTTATAAATATTTAGATGATTATAAATGATAAAAAGTGTGAAATATTTTGATTCATTACTTACCTAAAGATATGAATATGTTGTAGAGAAGACACCGCCCTATCCTCTCGTCTTTAGTCTATGTCTTGTATACCCAATACTGGAGTAAATGT